GCGCGTGGCAGGAAGCGGAAGGGCAGGGGGCCGGCCGGGCTCTATCCCTGACGTGTCTCTCGGAGGCCGCCGCCGCCTCTCGCTCTTTGCACCCGCCGGGCGGCCGCCATGGGCAGTGAGTGTCGGCACGGGACGGGATGGCACGGGACGGGTGGGATGAGGGATCCTCGCTCCCCTGTCCCGCCGCCCGGGCGCTTCCGCGGGATCTGCTGCTCTGAGGGGCGAAGGGCCGTTCCTGCGGCCGGGACGAACCCCGCGGTGTGAGCCGAGCAGCCGGGTCCGGAGCAGCGCCGTTAGCGGGGCGCGCTGCCCCAGCTCGAGCGCCGAGAGCCCGCTTGGAAAGCGCCTTAATCCCCGTATATGTTATAGAGGGGCAGGGGAGACGCGCGGCTTGGGTGGAGTTAAAACCCCAGCTTCGTGTGACTCTTCAGCTCGCTAACTGTTTGAAATCAAATGAGCAGTTTCGTTGATGATGTTTAAAAGTGCAACAAAACTGACTCTAAGTTTATCCCCCAACTCGAAGAAGAAGAAAGCAACCACTGCTTTCGGTTCCCTTGCGCTGCTCTGGGCTTTTTCATTCAAATCAGTCTAAAGTGCCTGTCTGCAGTGTGAGATCTGTGGTGAGAGGTTTGGCATTAACCCTGCTCCAAATCAGGCCTTCCTGTGCCTGTTCACAGGAAAATATGTTAGTCTGTAAAGAGAACTTTCCCCCTCTTTTTTTGATTTTTTTTTTTTTTTTAATAAGTCTGAGGCAACCTTGGTCCTTCTAACATAAGAGTAAATCCTTTTCACTGGGAGATTGTTGTATGAGAAGTTCTGTACAGTGACTTGAATTATTGCTCATGAACAGGACGTGGGGGTTCCCCAGCTGTGCAGCCCTAATGTCAGCTTGGGATAAAATACCAGCAGTGTTGGGAATTGTATTTCTCAAATTTCAGACTAGAGAGGAAACTACTCTGAAGTAAGAGTTCATAGATGTTGATAAACTCCTGCAAATCAGTGGCAGGATTCTTGTGCTGTTAACTGAATCAGAGAAAGGAGAGAGGTATTAAGTTTTTAGCTGCACTTAGTCCATATCACACATACTAAGGGTGTGATAGGAATTTTTAAAAATGCTTTGTTCATAATGGAGACTTTTAGCACTTTAAGTGTCCAGATCCTATTTTCTTTGACATTTGCCATATGTGCTTTGTATCTGTATATTCACTGTGTGTTTTAACCAATTTTCTTTCAGTTAAATTTCTTGAAGTAATCAAGCCCTTCTGTGTTATTTTGCCTGAGATCCAAAAGCCAGAACGAAAGGTATGGTAATGATATTTTCTTCATAGGTCTGGATTTATGTAATATAAAGTCTTTACAGCTTAACTTGCTTTTTGTGGGGAGCAGTAGGAGGATACTTGTCAGTATAGATATGTTTTTTTATGGAGTGTTTGTGTGTATGCCTTGTAGCATTAATATGTTTGTAAAAGGGTATCTTTGGTAATAAAGATGCTCTTGTGTGGGTATAGTTATGCCTAAGCAGGGAGTTATTGAAAGCAGTAAATATTGGAGTGTGAACTTCAGTAGTTTAAAATAGCAACTTGAACATCTCTGCATCATAAGTTCCAATCCAACATTATGTGTTCAGATAAACTTTGCCTCTTTCTTCCTACCAGAACTGTTTCCTGTAAAAATACAAGGTTTATTTCTGTGAAGTGCTAGAATTACTTTTCACTTGCATAAACTTGTTTATTTGGGTTAAAGATTCAGTAAAACTTGCAACTTTCCCTCAGCTTTATGTAGTGTGAAAGGCATGAAAAGTTAGTTATTTTCTTCAGTATGCCTTACACTCCATTCAAGAGAGAAACAAATGAGCTTAACCTACTCTAAAAGTCGGCCACCTATTTTTATCTTAACAGTTTTATTTATTTTTTTGTTTTCCTCTTAGATTCAGTTTAAAGAAAAAGTATTATGGACAGCTATCACACTCTTCATCTTTTTAGTATGCTGCCAGGTATGTTACTTCCCCTTGTTCTTAAGCTAAAACGTTGAAAGGATGTTACAAAGTCTATGCTTTAATTTAATCCCATTTCTCTGTTTGAAAATTCAGATCCCCCTGTTTGGCATAATGTCATCAGACTCAGCAGATCCTTTCTACTGGATGAGAGTGATTCTGGCTTCAAATAGAGGTATGGTTGATAGTGTGAAACGAAATGTTTTGGGCCTGCTTTCACACTGCGTTCTATTTTGAAGAATCTGAAATGGGGAGCAAAGAGAAGAAGTCATTTTATGTATTACATAATTATATTTAAAAAAGTGTGCATTTAAAAAAGCATGACTTACATGGACAAACTGAGTTTGTGTCTGGATGTGTATCATTATTGTCAAGGGTAAGCAAAATACAATTCCTTATTAACTGTATAGTTGTTGTCATTGTGGTGTGTGTGATATATATAACTTTATATGTATGTAATTAGCCTTTCTGTTTTATACACTCCATTTCTTTCTTTCGTGGTGCTTGCTGTATCTGACAGGTACGTTGATGGAACTGGGTATTTCTCCTATTGTCACTTCTGGGCTCATCATGCAGCTCCTGGCAGGTGCCAAGATAATTGAAGTTGGTGACACTCCAAAGGACAGAGCTCTGTTTAATGGAGCACAGAAATGTAAGTAACAGCTGATGTTGGAGACTGAGATGATGTTTTAGAGTATCTAACCCTAACCCCAGCAACCATAAACTTACGCTACAATAAGTCTTTAATAGGATGTACAGGTTTCTGTCATGCTGCCATCACATGTTCATGTTGTGTTAGAAAGTTCTTTGTTTAAGCAGTCTTTTACTGACTGCTTTTAGCTCATTAGCTGTTAAGACTTAGATTGGTTTATAAAGGAAATATCCATGCAACTGATATTGCTGTTGTAATCTTACCAGATAAGCTAAGTAATATACAGACTGTGGAGACTCAACCTTTGTTGGTCAGTCTTAACCCAAAAGGGTTAATCTTAATTTTAAGTTTGTTGTTGTTGTTCTTGCCTTGCAGTTACCTAGAAAGGTTCTTTTTCAATAATAAGAGATGTGTGAGCTCACTTGATAAATGGCTTTTAGATAAACTTGAGTCTCCTCCAGATATTTTTTGCTGCACTGCAGCACTTACTGATTTGTTTACCGAGGGGGGAAAAGGAGCCAAAGCACTTGCTTCTGAGTCTATTTCTAAATGCATAACTGCTTATATATTTCTTGATTTGCCCGCTAGCATAAACCTGCAGAAGAAATGCATACGTTTTCTTTTTCCCCTACAGTATTTGGAATGATCATCACCATTGGTCAATCTATAGTCTATGTAATGACTGGAATGTATGGAGACCCATCCGAGATGGGTGCTGGTATCTGCTTACTTATCACAATTCAGGTAATTTCTAGTGCCATGTTCTTAGCCTTGCTCTGAAGGGGTCAAAAAAGCAGCAGACTCTTTCCTGCCTCACATGCAAAGAAATCAGTGTGTCTACTTCCTCATTTGTAGTCTTTCTTGTCTTCTAATACAAGCTTTGTAACAAATCAAAAAGGGATGTGAGTAATGCTATGTGTTCCTCTCTGTAGCTTTTTGTTGCTGGATTGATAGTCCTGCTCTTGGATGAGCTCCTGCAGAAAGGATATGGTCTTGGTTCTGGCATCTCTCTCTTTATTGCCACCAACATTTGTGAGACTATTGTATGGAAGGCCTTCAGCCCCACCACTGTGAACACAGGACGAGGTAACGTGGCGCCCTCCGTTCCTTTGATTTCCATTAGGATTTAGTTGTTTTATTGCCTAATGCTTGATAAACCAAGTAGCTGCATATTCATTTAAGAAAATAACTTAGCATGTTTATTTAAATTTACTGGCATCTTACCTGTACAATTGCCATGCAGTGAATGGGATTCCACATGCTGTGTTTCAGCAGTATGCCTAAGGGGACAAAGCCCCGGAGCTCAGACATCCTCACACACCTAACCTCATTTTCCTTTTCCTTCCAAGGCATGGAATTTGAGGGAGCCATCATTGCTCTGTTCCACCTTCTGGCTACGCGTACAGACAAAGTCAGAGCTCTTCGTGAGGCCTTTTACCGCCAGAACCTGCCCAACCTCATGAACTTGATTGCCACCATCTTTGTCTTTGCTATCGTAATTTATTTCCAGGTCAGTTGGAATCAACAGAGTTGTAAAATTGTTTGTGATGGAAATAAATACATATTCTGCTTAATTCTACAGGAATTATATTTTTATCTTGTAGTGCTTTCAGAAGACTCAGTTTGGGGCCTGCAATACTAGATGTTCATTTAACATTAGCTCTTCCTAATCAGTTACCACACTTACTGTAACCATTCAAACTTGAGACCTCATTTGGTCTGAGAAGAGATGAATGTGTTTAATAGTACCTTACCCAAAACGCTATTGCTTTTTACTGGATAAGACTTTAAATTCTTTAAGCCTGAGTCTCTTAAGTGTTTGCTTTAGCAAACTGCTGAAAAATATCAAGTGAGTTTTGGTTGGTTTTAATGTTTCCTTTTTTCGGGACATTGTGCTAAATCTTTTTGCACTTTCAGATTTCTTCTAATGGCCTTTAAAATGTATGAATTCAGACAATCCTCAGGTTTCCTGGGCCTTAACAGAAATGTTTGCATGGACAGTTCCTCTAGGTAGCATTTATGATACTTGCTGGAAATCATTGCAGACTTTTTCCTGTGGTTAAGGCTTTGCACTTCCACTTGTTGGCCTGTGGTATGTGGTCAGCTCATTAAGATACAATGATGTTGTTTTTCTTTGGAATTTTATTTCAGGGCTTCAGAGTGGATCTTCCTATCAAATCTGCTCGCTACCGTGGCCAGTACAACACCTACCCTATCAAGCTGTTCTACACTTCCAACATTCCCATTATTCTTCAGTCTGCCCTTGTGTCCAATTTGTATGTCATCTCCCAGATGCTTTCTGCTCGCTTCAGTGGCAACCTGCTGGTTAGCCTGCTGGGCACCTGGTCTGTGAGTATTCCCTCATGTCTTGCAAACGGCTTTAATAGTCACATTAAAATGCTTAACGGGTTGTTTCTGTAAACGTTAAAACATTTCTACAGATGATCTTGTACAGCAAAACTCTTAGATTAGTAACTCATTTAAATTGGTGATTGGGAGACTTGTGAAGAGTTTAAATGCCCTGTCTCCATTTTTTCCTGGGCTCTTCTACCTTGTTGACTTGGATATTTTTGCTTTTCTGTGCTGCATTTCATTTCCATGTTGGAAGCTGCTGAAATTTGGATCTGTGGGCTGCTCTAGTGATACACGTAGTCTATACAAAGGATGCATAAACCCAGGCTTAGCTTAATGGCTAGGAAATAGTGAGCCGATTGGTGACCACTTGCTTCCTTCTCCTAGGACATATCATCCGGAGGCCCAGCTCGTGCTTATCCCGTTGGTGGACTTTGTTATTATCTGTCACCTCCAGAGTCCTTTTCTTCAGTGTTGGAAGATCCTGTCCATGCAGTTGTTTATATTGTGTTCATGTTGGGATCCTGTGCTTTCTTCTCCAAGACATGGATTGAAGTCTCTGGCTCCTCTGCCAAGGATGTAAGTTTAAAATTAATAAATAAAGCAGGAGGTGGTGGGAGGGAAATGCATAAGAAACAAAATCGTAAAAAAATACAGGCTTTCTTCTGAAATGTCAACTGTGCTGGTAATCTTGTCAGTTATATTTATAAATTTATCATCTGTATAAAAAGAGACTTAGCTCTTTCTGATCTAGAACCTTTTAAAAATAACATTTTTTTGGTGAAAAAAAATATATATATATATATAATTACTTTTCACTGGCATGAGGAAGCTTCTGACATTGCTGCATGGTATCTGATCAAAGTGAGAGAAGACAAGATACCATGAAAGGTGGAAATGTTTTTAGTGCCAGGTTATGGTTGCATTGTGTTGAAAAGCAAGTACCATGCAAGATAAGGAGATCCTCAAGAGATGAGGGGAAAGTTAACTAGACCTTAATTCTTTCTTGAGAGAGCAGACCATTAGTATACCTGTGCTTAGCCACTCAGCAACAGTCTGTGTATGTTTTTTGTTTGTTTGTTTTGTGTTGTGTGGTTTCATGTTTGGCAGCTGCAGGGAATGGTTTTAGTCCACTCTTTAACAAACATGTAATAGTTGTCTCACAACTAGCTGAATAGTTTTGCTAGCAGGTACTAAACTCCAACCGGTGGAGGGTAGGTCACAATCAGGCTTCATATGTATAAGTCTACCAATTTCCAGATTTTCCTTTTCGTAGTAGGACAAGAATTCTGCAAAGGCTTTGCACAGTTGATAATGTGGAGAAGTGCCTATGACTGCAATCCATGCAATGTAAATTTTTGGATAAAATCAAATTATTAGTATATAAAACAGAATTCTTTTTACTGAAGTCTCTTGTTTCACATACCACTTGGTTTTATGGCCTTGGCAAATGAACTAAACTTGCTTGCTCTATTTCTTCATTCAACACAGGTTGCCAAACAGCTAAAAGAACAGCAAATGGTAATGAGAGGCCATAGAGAAACCTCCATGGTACATGAACTGAACAGGTGAGCTCATTTCACAGGCTGTACAAAATGTTAGGGGAAAAAGAGCAAAATGTGCCCTGATCTTCCACTTTGTAGATGCTGAGCAGAGGTATTGTCTCAGTTGTATTATGTGGATGAGATTTAGTGTACTGTCTCTTGCTAATAGCTGGATTTACCCAGCACAGCCTGTTATTGCCTTACAATTGTGCATTGAGCTATAGGGCTTTTATCCCTCTTGTTTTTGTACTTTTTATTTTCTGTACATATTTTTGCAGTTAACTTCTTCAAACTGATGCACAAGGACTTTAATTTTTTTATACGTTGATATGTCCTAGGTCTTACACATTGGACTTCTGCATTTTTTTGTTTGCTTGTTTTAGGGGAAAAAAAGACTTGTTAAATCTACTAGATGTAGAGATAGTCAGGGGCTCGTTTCAAGTTTTATGATTGCAGGGTAGGACTCATGTGCTCTTTGTATTACCAAAGAATCATCACAACTTTAGTTTTTAGTTATCTGTGAATGACTTGGAGCTAGTAACCATGCCGTTTATCTTTGTGCTCAGATGCATGGGAAACTTAAACATCTTTTCTATAGCTTAGCAATTTTTCTCTCCAGTCAGGCTGACTTTTTCTTTCCTTACCTGGTATATCAGCATTATTACTTGTGCCTTATCTTGGATTGCTGGACCTGGAAGAAAAGAGGATATTCTGCCCCTGACTGTCTTTAGTTCAGCTAAAAATTTCAGTCTTTTTTTCAGCCAGCTGGTTACCTTATCTCTATGGTTCTCTTCCTGTTTTCAAGAGGGTAGGTTTCCTATGAAGAACCTTCTCTAAATTAAGTACTTCCTTTCACCTAGTTGTAAAATGTACTGCTATTATGTCGTAGAACCATGTGCTACTTTACGTGGTTCCTGTATACTGTAACCACCACAAGTGTACTAATGTTACCAATATGCTTCCAATATCCTGAGCAAGATCTAAAGGTGCCTTTTTTATCCTCACTATGTGTTTTACAGGTATATCCCTACAGCTGCTGCATTTGGTGGTCTCTGTATCGGCGCCCTCTCTGTCTTGGCCGATTTCCTCGGCGCAATTGGGTCTGGAACTGGAATCTTGCTTGCCGTCACTATCATTTATCAGTACTTTGAAATTTTTGTAAAGGAACAGAGTGAAGTTGGAAGTATGGGAGCCCTTCTTTTCTAAACGTGGCTTCTCATGGACCCAGGAAGAGGGGAGGAACATTCTTGAAATAAGTCAGGTGAAAAGCAGTAAACTTGAGTACGTCATTCTATAGGAACATGTATTTTAATAATGTTTTCAAAGCGCATTCCCTTATGTTCAAACTTTTCTAGCATACTCTTTGCATTTTATAAATTGCTGGGGAAAAATGTGCAAAAATTTTTTTAAGAAAATTGTTTTTTAATTATGTGTTAGGAAAATCAGCTTTCTGAATTGGATTTAGTTCAGTCAGTCTTCAATTTTTGTTTCATCCCCTTTCAAAACAAGTATACCCAAAGCCTTCACAGGTTTTACAAACAGTTATGGGGGGACTGTGTGTTTGGAAGGGATTTTTGGAATTTAACTTGTGTTTGCAACTCCTTTGCAGTAGTGGTGAGAAAAAAAACTCTCCCTCTAATGCTCGTGTTCATAGTTATGGTTGTAAGCACAATGTTCAGTACATTCGGTTTTGCTTTGTTCCAGTATGGCAGATTTGGGAGGCAGTTGTTTCTTTTTACTAAATTATATCTCTAATTCCAAATGTCTTGTCTTTTACTAAGCTAGGCCTTGTCAGATGTTGAATATGGGCTTGAGACTGTTGTCAGTTGTCTTTAAAAGTCAGAATATGTTCTTTCCACCACCTCTCCTCCAGAAGCAGAAAACTCAGGTCAATCTGGACTCTGCTGGAGTCTGTGCCTAGGAGTTGCAACTCTGAACCTTGGTAATACAGGCAGCTTTGTAAAAAGAAATAAACTTCTAACTACAATTTTTATTGCCATTAGCCATAGCACTTCTAGTTCTGATGTTAGCTGACAGGAACGGATGTTAGAGCTGTTTAGAGGCAAATCTTGTGCCCTTTGCTGAAGTTAGGTTTCTCTCATCAGTCCTAAATTCTGGACATTATCAGCAAGTCATATCTGGTGATAACATCCAGAATTTAGTACTGATGGTCTAGTGATATGACTAGTCAGATATGATAGTGGTATCTAGTCATATCTAGTCATATCAATTGATCTTGGAAACAGCTGCCACAGAGGAGTGTATTTACTTGTCTTTTTCCTCTAGAATTCTAGATATGAGACCCTTTTCAGGTAACTCGTGTTAATGCTCGTGTAGACGGCTTTACTGTCCTATAGTCTCATTGACTCGAACAGTAGGTATAAAAACACTTTGCCAAAAGTCAGTGGGGCTCCTTTTTGCAGGGTCATGGCATCAGATTGTACAAGTTAAAGTAAAAGGCTTTAATGGACCAGAAAAATCCTTAATTTTCCATTTTAATTTAGATTGTCAATATTGATCAGGTGCCTAGGACCAAACGCAAATATTTGTGTATGAGTTTTGTAAATACACTTTTCCTCAATCAGTATTGGACAACGTGGAAACCAGAATGAGAAGTGATAACAGGGGAATGTTTCTCTATGCTGCATCTACACGACTTCCTGAGCATTTTTGCATGTTGTGCTGACTCTGTTATAAATTATTATTTCTGCTTGGAGTGATGGGACTTTCTGGTACGTTCCCCAAGAAGCACAGACGACATCCAGAAGACCTTGTTAATGCACTGAGCTCAAATACCAAATGCATGAGAAGTTAACAAATCCTGTATAACATACACCTATCAAAAGGAGACTCCTGGGGGATTATCGGAATTGGGGAAGGAGCACAAGTGCCAGGAGAAGATATTAATGAAATGCTCGCTAAAAAGTACCCACTCTTACTTCACACTACTTTCTGTAATCTTCCTTTTGTCTTTTATAAAGTAGCATGTCACAGCACAATTTTTGATGTGAAATTGGGGCAGTTCAAAAGTGACTTCAAAGGGAAGGGGAAGGAGCGTGGTCTGTTTTGTTCATTTGTTTTTTGGTGGGAAGGGAGGATTTTTTTTTTTTTCCAGGAAGACCAATACAAATCTCTTCAAAATGAAGAGGACTTCACTTCTGGGCGTGCAGTTCTGGCGGGGCTGGAGCTGTCCTTGTGTTTTTGGTCATATCAGTTTGAACGAGTTGCAGCTTAGACTGTGGGTTCCTGAGTGTCTGCGCTCTGAGCAGCACTTGTTTTTTGCATCTGTATTTTTGCTGTCTAGTGCTGGGATCTTTGTCTATTATCGAGCAGCTCCGTCCTCAAAGCAGGACCAGCTGATCAGGAGAGATGTTCACAGGGGATGTTCACAAAAAGAAATAATGCCTAAACAATCTGCTTTATAATGAAATAAAGTACATATTTGGAGCTAATGCTTGGCTTTCAATTCTTTGAATATTTTTACTATTCTTACAACTGTAGAACATCGATACCTGGCTAAATGACTATGAAGGTTGATCCCTCTTGAAACAGCTCTTTTGAGACAGTCAGTATAAAATACAGAAATGAACTTCATCCAAAGTCTTTTCTTAACAGTTAATTGACACCTTCAACTAGTCTGCACTTACCTAGTGCATTTGTAATCCAGGAGAGCAGCAATTCAAAAGATGCTGAAGAAGTGCAAGTAAATAGTTGGGGAGTAAGGTAATGAAATGTCAGTTTGACAAACTTTTGCTTTTTTTTTTTTTTTTTTTGAACATTAATACCTCTTGATAGTAAACAGAGCCATGTAACTTGGCTGATGATATCGCAACCCCTGATGCCTTCTAAGTTTTAAAGCTAAAATGGAGCAAGAAAAAAATCTAGATATTTAAAAAAAAAAAAAAAACTGAAACTATGGCTACTCCTTATCAGAAATAGAGCCTAGACCTTTGTTAATGAGTAAGAGCAGTGGTCGTTGCTCCAGGGATATTTCCTAATTGTAGCCTGAGCAGTTGTCCACAGGACAGCTACTTCAAAGAGCAGCACCCTGCTCCTACAAGGCCAAGTTTGAGGTCTTCTTGCTGCTAGCGCTACTTAAAGTGAAATTCTCAACAGAGGCAGATTTCTTTTTCTCCTGCACTCTGCCTTTCATTGAAAGCTGGTTTGCAGGTCACTGCTTTCACTGAATACCTGGGAAAGGTGAAGAGCTTCATTTGAATTTTTTAATTCAGCAGCACATATGGCGTTGGCTTTATTTTGCTGCAGCAATCTACAGAAAAGCATCAGAACTATTCATGTGATTTTTAACCTTAAATTTGCTTTTCTAATGGTGCATGGAGGGGTGCCTCTGTTTTCCTGGGTAGAGTGCACATGCCTTAAGTTTCCTTTTTTCCTTTCCTCTCCAGCTCTGTCTTTTCAGAATTATAATTTGGAATTATTTGGATTCTTTTGCAGTGGGTGTCTCACTTCTCACTGCCACTTAAAAATCCTGTATTTTCTTGAGGTCCTAGGAAGAAGCAAAGCACTATCTCTGTGTCCCTACCCTTTGAGAGGAAAACCTCAGTCAGGCTGTTAGCCCAGCTCCTCAACACCTGGGTGCTGCTGGTTCTTGTTTTCTTTCAGCATTTTCCTTTGGGCTGCAGCGGTACCGGCCGCTGCTTTACTCAGAGCCATCTCTAACCAAGGCTAACCAGGGCTAACCAAGGCTTTACTCGGAGCGATCTCCCCTGTGCCTTCCCTTGAACAGGGCTGGGCTAACCCCAGCCCTGGCCCGAGACGATGACCTGTGCAGCAGACTTGCCCCTGGCCTGCAAGAAGGGAGGCAGCAGGATACCCCGTTGGTGTTTTTTCGTGGGGTTCCCTCCTGCAGCCAGCACTCGAGGTGCTGCTCTTGTGTCCCGGCTTCAGGAGCTGCCTCCGCTTTGCCTCTGCCCTCCGCTGCCTCCCGCGGGCTCTTGGCTCAGCCCCGGCACCGCTGCCGCTGTTCCCTGCTCCAGCCGCAGGCTCCCGTGGAGCTGTCGGCTTCTCTGCGGCCGCCGTGTGTCCCTGCAAGCGCAGGCGGGTACCTTGTCCCCGATGGAGAAGGGGGTCCCGTAAAGAGCAGACAAGGGCGGATGGCCTTTCTGAAGCGCTCTCGCTTGGCGCTCGGCTGGGCCACCAGCCCCGCTGCCCCATCGCCCGCCTGCGCCAGCGGCC